GGGGGTGCTAATGCTGGTGGAGTAGTGAGTGATAATTCCACTCTGAAGATCTGTGTCTATACAAGGCAAATGTTTGTCTCCCCCGACCCAGCAACGCCAGTTCTGGGTGTAGACAGATACCCAAGAGGGGGTCGAGACCACTTGCACACAAGCAACACATTCTGTGAACTTTACTTATAACTGCCTAACAGCATTGCTGACCTAAATGACAAACAGCAGAAAGGATAAAGCATGACATATGTACTTGAAGGAATTCTAGGCAAATTAAGGAAAGAACAAATGATCATTCTAAGTTCTCATCAACATAATGAGCTGGGAATGAAGCCAAACTTACGTTTTTATATTTCTTTTTAAAAGGTAGTGCATTCTTAGACTATGAGTTTAATTAAAACAGGCTATTCATCACAGTTTTCTTCCAAAGCTCTGCTTTACTCTCATGGAGGCACTTTTGCCTGTATTTTCTCTGCATTTTTCGAGTACTTTTAAGATCTTAACCTAACTCGCCAAGAATCAATGGGAACAGATTCTCCTGTGTCTAAAAACCCACACACTTCCTGTGACACCATTTTTCCTTTCAACACTCTGATAGTTGTTGAATATCAGATTTAAATAGCTGACTTTTTCCTACTAGATTCCTTCAGTGCGGACCTAGCCTGCCACCAAGCTACCCTACCTGCAACTTAAGACACTGACTGGAAGTTGGCATTTTTCTCTTCTTTCAATTCTCACACTGCTATCAAAAGTAAAAAACTACTTTTCTATATATGCCACCTTAAAATTGATCTACAAAAAATTAGAAAGCCAAGGGTCATATGTGTACACTTGTTGTTATTCCAGCACTTGAGTGGAAAAAGCAAGAGAATCAGTTTTATCCTTTTCTACACAGGGAATTTGAGGCCAGCATGAGACGTTGTGTCAAAAACACAAAACATAAATAAATAAATAAATACATAAATAAATAAATAAATAAATGGGGAGTGCCAAAAAAGGGAAAGGTTTTATGAATGCCATCCCAAAAGAGTTTGTTTAAGCTACTTAAAATATTTTATTGTTGTGCTGTTCATCCTGTCGGTGATGATAGTGGCAAAGGTACAAGATCAATCAATACTAGCAATATTTTAAGAGAAAATGACCTTTATATTAAGATGTATTTTACGTTTTTTATTTCTTATTGAAAAGAGATTTTTTTTCATAAAACATATCCTGATTATGGCTTCCCTTCCTCCAACTCCTCCCAGATCCTCCCCACCTCTCCACTCACCAAATCCACACTCTTTCTTGTTCTCTCTCATTAGAAAACTTGGTGGCGCATGCCTTTAATCCCAGCACTTGGGAGGTAGAGGCAGGTGGATCTCTGAGTGTTCGAGGCCAGCCTGGTCTACAAGAGCTAGTTCCAGGACAGCCTCCAAAGCCACAGAGAAACCCTGTCTCGAAAAACCAAAAAAAAAAAAAAAAAGAAAGAAAGAAAACTAATAGACATCCCCCCCAAAATACTAAGAAACAAACCTGAATAGAACAAAGAAAACAAAAATAAAGACCTCTCTCCCCCACAAAAAAAATAATAAGAAACAAATATAGATGTAGACACATACAGTGGCATACACAAAAAGTCACCTAAAAACACATGACCATAGTATATACATAAAAGAACTGTAGGGAGAGAGAAAGGGAGAGAGGGAGAGAGGGAGAGAGAGAGAGAGAGAGAGAGAGAGAGAGAGAGAGAGAGGGAGAGAGAGAGAGGGAGAGAGAGAGGGAGAGAGAGAGAGAGAGAGGGGGGGAGAGAGATAGAGGAAAGAGAGAGAAGAAAGGAAAAAAGAGGAGAAAGGAAGGAAGGAAGGAAGGGAGGGAAGGAGGGAGAGGATAAAAGAAGGAAAGGAAGGGAGGACGAAAGGAGGGAAAGAAAGAAGTAAGCCCAGACAAAGCACTATGAGAAAAAAAGCACCTCTAAAAGGACTATTGAGTTGGTTTTGTGTGGCCATCTACGGCTGAGCGTGGGATGTGCCCTTGTGTGTGGTTTGTATACCTACTGAGACTCCGTTAGAGAAAACTGATTTTTCATTTTCGAGTAGTTTTCAATTGGAGATAGCTTCTGTGTTAGAAATGGGGCTTTTGTCCACTTCCACTCTGAGCTCTGGTATCCATCAGGCCCAGACCTGTGCAGGCTCTGGGCATTCTGCCTTAATCTCTGAGAGGTCACACATAAGCCCTGTTGTGTCTAGAAAGCCGTGTTATTTTGGTATCCTCCTTCCCTTCTTGCTCCTAAACTCTTTCCACCTCCTCTTCAACAAGGGTCATGAGCCCTAAGTGGAGGTATTTGATGGAGACATCCTGTTTTTGACAGGGTGTCCAAAGGTCTCGCACTCTCTGCACACTGTCCAGCTGTGGGTCTCTGTATTTGCTCCATCTACTGCAGGAGGAAGCTTCTCTGATGATGACTGAATGAGACACTACTTTATGAGTGTAGCAGAACATCATTAGGAGTCATTTCTGTGCTAGGTTCCTTTAGCATAACAGTAGCATTTGGCTCATCCCTGAGTCCTTGACTATTTAGTCTGATGTTCCTCACCATTCAGCAGTATCAAGGATGGGTTTCGTCTCATGGGGTAGGTCTTAAATCCAAGCAGACATTGGTTGGGTTAGTCCCACAGGTTTTTTGCCACTATTGCATTAGTGTGTCTTGCATGCAGATCTCCTTTGTAGATCCAAGGGTTTGTAGCTAGGTTGGTATTTACTTTTCTCCTTTGACAACATGCAGAACACCTTCCAGTATAATAAACATTAGTCAGCAGGGGTGAAGGCTCTAGGTAAGCCCATGATCAACTTCTCCATGTTAATGAGTTGTGTAGATGTAGTCTTCAGCACTGGGGCCACCAATAGCCTCAGTAATAGCCTGAATAGTTTTAGGGGTTTCTATGGGGCCTTCTTTGGCCAACAACTTGATTAGATGTACCCCACTCCTGGAACTAGAAGCTTCATTTGATGATGAGAGAGGTATCCAGTTGGGGTTCTGCCTCCCCTGTTATTTTGGCAACTTTATTAGATAATCTTCATATATGTATATATTTTAAGAAGTTTCTACTATATTTGGTTTCCATATGACCTATCAAATGACCCTTTGTTTTAGATGTTCATCTTTGTAGTCCCTCTATCACTCCCCTCTCCCCCCATCTATTTGTGAGGAAAGGCAGCTAAGACATATATTTGATGTTTTACCATACAGTACTTCCAAAATAAAATGTTGTTATCAAAAGAAATGGTAAGATGTTTTCTCTATAATGATTACTGTTTCTCAGAAAAGCCGTGTTCAATGTACATTTGCCCAGAAGTACTTAATGCCATGGGATTTATTTTATTGAATTTTATTTTAAATTTAATGATAAATCAAGATCCTCAAATTACTTTTGTTTATAAACACATCATTTAATTTTAATGTAGAGATTTTTCTTATCTAGAGACTTTTGTTTTATACAGATGGTTTAAATTAAATGCAAATCTGATTTATCCACAATAATTTTTAAAAAGCTACTTATCCAGAATTCAATATATGCTGAAACTGTGATCCAGTGAAATTGAGTGAAATCCTTGAGCTACTATTGCAAATCTAGATGACGTGCTACACTGTGCCTTGTGTAGCCTCAGTTTACCTTAACAAAGGCTTGGGCAGTGCTTCTTGCTTCCTAAGATCCATGGTCACTAACTGTATGTGAGTCTGTATTTCAGGGACCTATAGACATACAGAAGCCAATCTAAACCTTCAGATGCTGGCTGGAAGGAGGAGGTGATTGTTCTGGTCCTCACTTACAGAGGCATTAGCATATGAGATGCTTACACCATGCAGAATGTATGGAGTAGGAATACCAGAGCTAGTTGATACCTGCCCTGAGCATGACAAGGCAAGAGTCTGTGACTCCTAAGTAGAAAGGCATTTGAGAGAAAAGATAGAACTCACAAGCCACAGGATATCAGCTGCCAAATACTAACTCTGAGGGGCTGTGTTTAATAGCATCAAAGACATCACATGTCTGGAAAGATAAGGACTGAGCCTGTATATTGAATTTGTCAATCTGATGGCTATTTGGAACTCTCAGTAAAATATGTGTATTCAAGTTTTGATGAACTGAAATTCAATTTTAGTAAGTTGTGTATAAGACAGTAGAAGGAATTATATTATACATTTGTGTGACCACTGTCCATTTATGGCTATCAAACACTTGCAACATAGCTACCAACATTAGAGTAACTATAATATGCACAATATTTCAAAAAGCTGTTATGAAAATAATAAAGGTAAAAGTTTTCTTGCTAGTTTTATATATTGACTACATGCTAAAGTGATATTTTGTGTATGTTGAATTAGCATATGTGAGTTCATTTTACATCTCTTTTTGCCTTCTAATGTAACTGTCACAATTTTAAAACTGTATGCTCAATCTTGGGGCTTTCGTTTATTTCTGTTGAGTAGTAGTAGTGTGAATTATTTTCTCAAGGAGTCTCATTTGAAAGAGGAGAAGGCAAGCAAAGAATGGCTTGATAGAAATGCGTAGCCAAGAAGAAGTTTTAAATTTGCCAGTGGTCCAGGTAAAGAGAAGAATGAGATGCAAAGACCAGACAGGCATGAAGTGATGGGGCAGAGTCAGTATGCTGTGGGGCCGGGGAGTCAAGTTTGCGGGCGATGCATGAGGTTGACCCAGAAGACATCTTGTTTTCTGAAATGTGACCCAAATGGAGGTGAGGCTAGACCTAAACACAGGTGAAAATGGAGGTGGAAGTGCAGACAGGAAGCAAATATTTATATATTTGGTATATAAAAGCCATCCAGGCTTCTGTGAGGAATTCATGTGACCTATAAAATGTCTTGACTAAATGACAACTTTACATATTTGAAATATAATTTTACATAAAGAGGTCATTAACGCATAGGAATTTGTGACATAATAATGAAGACTTGTAGTTGTTCTGAAACTAAACTTCTCTTCTTGTCACAATCATATTGTTTACAGGAGAATTTGATACAGTGCAGAGCCCTTCCACACCCATCAAAGATCTTGATGACAGAACATGTAGAAGTTCTGGGTCAAAGTCTCGAGGAAGAGGCCGGAAAAATAATCCCTCCCCACCACCGGACAGTGACCTGGAGGTATGCCTATTTATTACTAAGAAACAGAAGATACTTGATTTCACTGAAGGGCATAATCCATAATTTATCAACTAGTAAATTTACAAATTAAAATATATATCCTGAATTGAACGGACCTGCTTTGTTTTAGGTAATTTATCAGTTTGAATTTTGAGATTTTTGTTTATCATAATAACAAAATCTAAAACAGTAATGTCAAAGGCAAGAGAACTTTGAACATTGAAGACTAGCATAATTTCATCTTTTGATCCAAACTGATTTTAAAAAGAAGCTAAAAATAAAGCTACTATTTGTGGAATAACTTCCCAAGAAAATAAATTTTTAAGAAGATAAGAGCAATCTGTATGGAAAGAAAAATAGTAAAATCTTGTCATTGAATATATATTGTATGTGTGAACTTTTATTTATTTTTCCATTTGTGAGCTCTTTTGAGTCATAATGACATTAAGCAAGTTGAGTTACTATTAGAAAACACTAAATAACTATAATATGTTACACAATTACACAATCACATAGTGTAACTGGAAAAAATTAATTCCAGTTGTGCCTCAAATCAAGTAGCAGACATTGTACCTCTCCCTAAAAGATTTGCATGACTATACTTGAGAGATAAAATGCGTTCTGGAGCCTGATAGGTGACACGATGACTAACAGATAGAGAGCCCAAAGGACGGGCAGAGACTTTAGAGCACCATTCAGTGTGGTCCACACTCCAGATTCTCTTGCAGAGTCAAAGCCATGATGTTTGGGTGTTGGGTGGTATCTTCTAAATTTGTTGAATTCTTTGAAATCTCTCATAAGTTTCTGCAGGTCAGAGAGCACATTTACCGGCTTATGTGACACAAGAGTCAACATTTAGGGGCTACTTTAAACTATTTTGAAGTTATTTAATGTCTTCTATAAATTCCAAACTGTAATGGATCCATGATGTCTAAAACTATAAAATATATCAACATTAGACTCCTGTTTTTTGTTTTGTTTTTCGAGACAGGGTTTCTCTGTGGCTTTGGAGGCTGTCCTGGAACTAGCTCTTGTAGACCAGGCTGGTTTAGAACTCACAGAGGTCCACTTACCTCTGCTTCCCCAGTCCTGGGATTAAAGGTGTGCGCTACCACTGCCCAGCTAGACTCCTTTTCATCATAAAGTCAGAATATGTCTTTTTTGTAATAACTATAATTAAATATTGACTATATGCATTCACATCAGGATGCCTGATGATTAAGATTTTGAACACTTATATTACCCATGTCCCCAGGTTTTCTGAGAGTCGGACTTGGCAAATGAAAAATGAAAAAATAATTGAAGGGGGTGGTTGTGCTATAATCCAGTCAAGACTGCATATATCAAGACCATTTTCTAACTGTAAAGATCTGTGTCTTTAAACCATAACCGTGTTGACACTGGCTGTTTCTCTTCAGCGTGTGTTCGTCTGGGACTTGGATGAGACCATCATTGTCTTCCACTCTCTCCTCACTGGATCTTATGCACAGAAGTATGGCAAGGTAAGGAATCCAGAGTTTATTCCAGGAAATGTTCTGTATTTAACTGGTTAAAAAAATCAAGGTCTGCTTTAAACTAGTTTGTTTTCAGTGAGTCTGTAAATTCTTACAATAGTCATTCCTCTGCAGTATCTTTCTGTGCTCCAATGTGTACTGGCAACTTGGCAGAGTTAATTAGGATTTGGTTTACAGTCTCAGAGGAATCTTAAGTTTTCTATCTCAAGAGTGAAGATCTTATTCTCACATATTGGGGGACAACACCCCTTTACTTACAGAAAGGTTCATCACTCCTCTGCCTTTCGCTCTTGCTATTACCTCTGTAACGAATTTCTCAAAACAGCGTCATACCTGTGTGAGTTCTCTTCCCTGGACTGACACATTTCAGAAGGCTGCTCTGATGGAAACATGTGGATGCCTAGGTCTTTAATGGCTTTGACTCTGTCAGTAGGATTTGACCTAATCAGAGTCAGGTGAGAATATGTTGGTTCAATTTCCACTCCCATATTAAAACACATGTTTAGCTTTGGTTTTTTTATATATCACAGTCACACCTACAGAAGTGCCTTGCTGTACCTTTAATGCATGACACATTAGCTGGTGGCTCCTTATGTCCTATCAGCATTCCTTTTTTAGCAACTGTTATATTTTTATCTTCTAGACAGTATATGATGGATTATGTTCAAGTGTGTCTTTTTATTTCACTTTTATTTATATGTGTGTGTTTGTATGTGCATGTATACATGCATACAGGTGACCATGAAATCCAGAAGACAGTGTCATATCTTGATGCTAGTGTTACAGGTGTGATATAAGTGCTGAGAACCAAACCCGGGTCCTCTGGAAGAGCAGGAAGAGCCCTTAACCACTTGAGCCATCTCTCCAGTCCCAAATGTGTCTTTGTAAATTTGTACTTTGGATGAATCTATATTGTCATTTATTTTTACTTTCCAAGTAGATATAAAAGGTAGTAATTTTTAACAGTCATTTACCGATTTACTATTAATCATCTGACATAGTTGTCTTGAAATGATACTTTCAGGAATTATTTATTATTTCTGTAATTCATAAAAGAGTTGTCTCAAAAGCAGTATATATACATAGGCAGCTACATGTCATGTTAAATAAAAGCTTAAAATAAACAGTCAGTATTGATCATATATGGCCCCACTTAGGGTCTGTCCTGAGATGTGTCGCTAGCTTGTGTCAGGTCAGTGGTGGAACTCACCTTTCTGGAGTTGCCTCTGTACTGTTAACATGTTCCTTAATGCCAGAGCTTATCTCTTTCTAGGAATTTTGGTCTTTTAAATTATGGGATCATAATTAAATTATGGATCCCCAAAACAAAATCTAAAGAATGTGGTAAACATGTCATTATGTACATTTGTTGTCTTTTTGTTGAACGAGAGAAAGATGATGACAGCACTCTCTTCAGCATGCTCGTCCAGGGTGTGTGGCCTTAGTCTGTTCTGAGGAAATCCCCTACAAAACTTCATACCTGAAGCCTTTGCAATTGAACAGTAAAAGGCAGGAAATATAGAAAGTAAGGCAAAAGAGTCAAGGGAGGTTCAGAGAATCCCAAAAGACTGAGAAAGTCCACGAAAGTTCCCCACAGGACATACTCATTCTTTCCACCCTGTGCTTCTCTACAAAGGCCATATTAGTATTGAACTTCTCTCTTATCCAAAAAGGTTTAACCCCAGGATTTAAAAAGGAAGCGGACAGTTCACACTTCTCCCACCAAATAAGGTGTCTGAATAAAGAGATCACAGCCTCATGAGTCCCGCCCCCTCCCAGTGAGTTCCTGTGGCCATGGCTCCTTCTTACTTGCACCTCTGTTTTCTGCTGTGAGCTGCAACCACACAAGCATCACCAGAGCATGTCAATGCCAGCACCATCACCAAGCCTTGGACTTCCAAACTCTCATAACCTCCAGTTAAAACCGACTTTTCTGTCTGAGTTACCCCATCTCAAGTGTTCTGCTGCTGCAACGGAAACAGCCACTGCACTGTTCCCATGTGGTGCACACCAGTGGTCCCCGTGGGCTCACATTCTTAATTCTTGTTCCTCCAGGCACACTAGCCCCATTCTGATCAGCTATACAATCTTTAGGAGGAAGGGCATAGTAAGAGAGCTAGAACAGCAGGGGCAGGCCTGTGGGGGTTATAGCAAGCCTCTGCTTCCTCCGTCTGTCCTTGGTGACAGGAAATGTCCCACCACGACACACTGTCTCACCACCGTTCTCGTCCAGTGCGAGAAGCCAAGGGACTATGAACTGAAACTTTGAAACTGTGAGTCAAAATACACCTTTCCTCTTTCCGGGGAAAATGCCAGGGAGCAGCAGGGAAACTCAACTGACTTCCCTCAGTTGACTCACAAGCTGCCTGGCTCTAAGAGTAAATCCAAAGCCAAGCTCTCAGGCCTCTCTCCTCGGGGGTTGCATCATTGACAAATCTCTCCAGAGGCACTGGGAAATTTTCTAAATGTTTTATCTTGGTAAAAAAAAATCTCATTCGCCGGGCGGTGGTGGCGCACGCCTTTAATCCCAGCACTCGGGAGGCAGAGGCAGGAGGATCTCTGTGAGTTCGAGGCTGGGCTGGACCGATAGCCTCCAAAACAATACAGAGAAACCCTGTCTCGAAAAAAAAAATCTCATTCTTCAACGTGTTAATTAGTGGTCTTTAGAAAGGGCCTGGCGAATTAATGTGAGGATCGGTACAAGCTATCATGTCAAAATGGCTCTGAGATAGTTTGGTGTAAACCATCTTCTAGTGGGATTGAATTCGTTAGCTTTCCAATGGCTTCGCAGGCTGATGGAAATGAAGCCATTCTAGCCATTACTTGAAAAAAATTTTTCACTGCTCTTAACAGTAGTAACTAAGATGGGGTTGCAGTTAACAGTAGTAACTAAGAGGTGGCTCAGCTGTTGAAAAACACTTACTGCTCTTCCTGAGGACCTGGGCTCAGTTTCCTGTACCCATGTGAAGGCTCACAACCATGTATACCTCCATTCCAAAGGATCTGATGCCCTCTTCTGGCCTCTCCAAGCTACTGCAGCACATAAACTCATGAGAGCACACCTGTACACATATTTTTAAAGGTAACCGGAACCATTGGTTTTGGATGGTGGGTAGAAAGCCCATATCCATAAGAGTTGTGTAGATGTGAAACTGCTTATGTGCATTCAGTCCATTTCATGTCTTACATCACTCTTGTTTCTTCATTATACATTTAAAACAATTTCATGTATTTATTTAAAAATATTATTTTTGATTTTTGTGTGCATGTGTACATGTCCCATGGCACATATGTGGCAGTCAGAGGACTACTTTCACAAGTTCTCTTTCTCTTCCATGATCTGAGCCCCAGAGATCAAACCCAGGCCATCAGGTTTTACAGCAAGCCCGCAAGTCATCTCGTGAGCCCCAGTGAGCATTTTTAATGCACAACTTGGTGTAATGGGGATGTTCCAGGTTTGCAGCAGAGCATTCTTTATGCATATGGAATATCTATCCTACAGAATGTCATTACACAAAATTACATAAGAATGTGGCTGTTCCAGCCGGAGGGAAGTGGTGAGGGATGGGAGAATCCCCATGGCTCCCACAAAGCAAGACCCCTCTCCTATTCTCAGTCACCCGAGATGAGCTTACAGAGGCCTGGGCTTGCTCTGAATATATCCAGCAATGAGTCATCAACTGACCTAGACTTTGGAAGATCCCCTATGCATGGCAAATAATTTGACCTCTGGGTTCTTTACTAGAAATTTATTATAGTGGCATGATGGTATGTACTGCCAGTCTTGGTACTTGAAAGACTGATGTAGATAGAGTGTAAATTCAAGGCATCCTGGGCTATATAGCGTGTTCCTCAAGGCCAGCCTGGGCTATACCGTGGGTTCCAAGCCAACTTGAGATAAATAGCAAAACCCTGTCTCAAAAGTCTGAAAATAAATAAGTGGTTTTGAACTTAAATCTTAAAAAGAAAATAAGGTGATTGTCTTCCTTGCTGGAGTTAGTGGGTGGGTTAAATGAGATCATGTAACTACATCAAGGGCACTTAGGTATGAACAGAAGAATCTATTTCTCAAGTCAAATAAATTAAATAAGATTCTCCACTCTTTCCCCCCAAATGAGAAGTAACTGGAAACAGATGCTTTCAGGGATGTAAAAGGTCAGGATTTGCTCTCATGGTGCTTACTGTGGTGCATCATGGCATAAAATAGATTGAACCAGCAGTAGAGGTCATGTGTGCCTGAACTGTAAAATATTAGCACACTTACCAGCCTGCCTGCCTCTAACTGTCTCCCAGACCCAGAGGTTGTAGCACGTGTTGTCTATTATGTACATTATGTTTATCATTCCATAAGTACATCCTCTTCCATGGGCTGTCCACTTAGCTCCCACCTCTGCTCTGTACAACTGATGCTGTAGAAGATATTTTACAAGTGACATGCCAGCCAGATCCTCTCTCTCTGACCTGGTCTTAAAAGTATCCTCCTTCGGTTTGGTGCTGGACCTTTGCAAATAAAATTCATAGTCACCAATGTTCTAGGAATTCCATTATCTCACAAATAGTTTCATGTAATGACTAATTTTGCTTATTCACTTAAGAACACTTGTAGAAAATTCCGCATCCACTTGCAAGTAGTACAAAATTTCCCAAGTTCTTCCAAATGAATTATCACTTTCTGGCTCTACTCAACTGTTAACACTCCCTCTTCCCACGCAGAACTATTTCTGGATCCTTCTAATGGTGGCAAGTGTAGACTCTGCTGCCGGGAGGCTGGTGATGGGTTCTGTGGCTAAGCACCAGTTGGCATGCACAGTTTCGTCACTGCAGAAATCTAAAACAGAAGTTCACGAGTTTGACAGGATGATGCCCAGCCATCATCTACCACCTGGGAGTTTATGAAGACTGTTCTGATGCTCTGAGCAATTATGTATTTTACTTTGCCTAAATAACAATAACTACCTTTTGGGATAATGAAAAAAACAATAAATTTG